TATATATATAATGTATAATTACAATAACTCTCTATGAATTATTGATATAATTTCAAATAGTATTTGGAATGCATTTAATGATACAAAATTGCTCTTATCAACACAATAAATTTAAAAATCTTTCAGGACACAAACAATCTCAATTGGTTAAGATAATTTCAATAAAACACAGCTTTTTTAATAATTGAAAACAAGTGAAATAATTATTAGTTTGAATTTTTTCTCTCTTCACCTTGTTTTATCCATGATAATGAAATTTCAATAAAATTTTATATCTCTACTTAATATTATTAACAACATTGACAATATCATATTTAATAATCTTAAAAATTATTTTCCATAAACCATATCGATATTAATATAGACATAATGCAATTCAAGCTTCAATTTTTCCAATTGTTATCTATATTGAACAATGTTACTTTTATTAGGATGCATTTCGAATTAAGCAAGCATGTGATATCATTTTTCTTTATTCTTTGGTGAACAACAAGGACAAATGATGCATCATGTTTGTATGTAATTTAGAATGCATCTCTATACTTATGATCTGTTTCCTGCATTAGACTGTTCTAGAACTCTCTTTCTCGTTTTAAATAAATATCAAACGTATTTCTATTTCACTGTAATTTCCAAATATACACTAAGCTACAGAAAACAGATCTTTAATTGACTGAAACAACATGTTAATACTACAAAAATTATAATCAATTGTTCTTTGGCCTTCCTACAGCGTGATTTTATAATATAATGTTATCTAACGTCAGACATTATTAGAATGATGGATATAGAACTACTGCCAGATTCGTTACGACGGTTCCTGTAAAAAACATAGAAAACATTCGCGTAGGTGCTACAAGCAAACGTATCGAGTGTCATAATCGCCATATGCGGCGCCGAGAGGAAGACGATGTCGCTCAATCCAACGTGCAGACGTGCGATTTAGGTTAGGTCGTATAGCAGACGACATTTGCCATCGAAGCAGCGGCATGCAATTACATATGTTAAATCGACACGTGTCAATTCAACGACGTGATAGCGCTCATTGTCGATCAATCCCGCTCACCTTTCTTGCCCTTTTTCGACTGCGATTCCTGCATCTTGGATCGCTGCTGCGGTCGACTGCTCCGTTCAGCTTTCTCCCCGACTCCTCTCTCTTGCTTTTCCCCGGCACTCCCGACAGGCTGTCTTGGCGATTGGATCGGCCGGTGGTGGTGCGTGCGTTGTTCTTCGGATGAGGAACGGCGTGATACTCGCGTGCCACCGATGAAAAGTCATGCAGGCGCAGAAAAAAAAATTCTCGTGCGAAATCACCACGAGCGTACTCGCGACCGGGTCTTGAAGATAGGGCGATATACAGCAACACAGCTGGCACGGAGTACGGAGCTGTGATCGCACACGTGTGGTGGTGGTAGTACTAGCAGTAGAGCACTATAATGTAGGTATTCGCATCCGCCATTTTTAGTCCTTTCCCCTATTTTTTGTTCTTTCTTTAACTTTCTCTCTTCTCTTTTCAATCTTCTCAGCTCAACGGCGAAGTAAAGAGAGCAAAGAATTGGGGAAAAGATCAAAAGAATGAGGAAGGAACTGAAAATGCGACGGATGCGAATATTCATTATATCATATTATAGTGCCTTATAGTAGCCGTAAGTCCGGATCTACAATGGATGTTTTAAACTTTAAGCCGCAAGAAATTGACCAATTACAGTCGAATTTGAGGAGAATAATCGACTATGATTTGTCTATTTCTTATGGCTGAGGCTAGAACTTTATTGTAGATCCGGATTAACGGTCACTCCATAGAGGACATGCTGAACAATGGGTCGAGTGACCACCAGGATTACCAAATCGAAAAAAAATAATTTCCATAGAATTTGCAGTAAAATTTCCCGAGAAAAAAATTCTCTAAAAAAAAAATATAAGAAATTTTCAAGAAATTCCGGAAAAAATAAAATTCCGGAGAAAATTTTGTAAAAATCTAAAGAAAAATCACAAAATTCCTGAGATAACAGAAAAAATTATCAAAAATTATTTTTTTATTTTATGTTTAGTAAATAATAACACAAACTGGAGTATACAAAAATTATTTGATTTTAATAATAAAAGTACTTCACATATACACAAATTATAGCATTATTTGTATAATGTTGCGAGTTATATAACTAAAAACACAAATTAAAATATATTAAAATATTTTTATACGTAAATAAACATTTTTAGAAAAATATATTCTTAACAAGCTAATATCACATTACTAAGTAATATCATATTAATTAGAAAGAAATCTGAGAGAGAACATGACGACACAAAACTAACCGCAAAATGCTACCGCGCACTACTGCCCTCTGACAAAGTGGATGTAAACTACATAGCAACGTCCACTTTCTTAGAGTACATCGTCTTTTTCAAGGTTAGAAATGATAAATCAATATTTGATTCATATAATAGTGCTACATATAACATACGTTACTTTGGAATGTAGCCCTAGCTAAAGTCACTCTAGTGAGAGTCGAAATACAAAACCAGAAGGACGTCATGTTTCTTATTGGAAACGGCTAATAATTCTTATTTTTTTTTAATAAGAGACACCTGTCCTTGGAAAAATAAGAGGGAAGTCAATACGGACAAAATTAGATTGGCAGTGTTATTTTAAGATAATTATTTTAAGATAATTAACTCAGGTCGAAGCGAAAAAAACGTTCCAGCGTCATCATCTTGAAATGTGATACTATCATAGATATCTATGAGTCTATATCTACATTTATAGAAATTGCTCTCATCTATTCATTTACATTCATTAATCATTAACAAACTGTAACATGGCGGCACCAATCATGTAGAGGACCGCTTATGGCTTTTATTAGAGTGATTCTAACCCTAGCCATTTTGCCGATTTAAAATCGCCCATTCAAATGTTTTTTTTCTTGATGCGTTTCGGAACACGCCATTTTTGTGAAAGCGCGATCAACTGCTCACACTAGATCTGTTTTTTTTAATTGAACTTCTTGTATTGTTGGTCATTTTTTCTTTTTTTCTCCATAGGGAAAAGAAGGAAAAAAGATTAACAATGCAAGAATTTCAGGTGAATATCAATTACCCACATTAATTGGTTAATTTATTAATCATTAATTGGTTAATTTATAATAATATAATCTCATTGCTGAAGAAGTTCATAAAAGAATTCATTTTAAAGAATAGAAATACATATAGAATTAGAAAAATTAATATATGAAACATTCTTTTTCTTAAACATTTATATTAAGAAAATATCTACGTCAAATAACAGCTATATGAGTTGAAAAATAAAGTAAGTTTTTAACTTTTTTTCGATTTTAGTATAAAAAATTTACTGATACACCATAAAACATAAAATTCATTAAAAATAAACGTTTAAAAAATATTTAATAAACATTAAATAAATGTTTATCCTGAAAATGAATTGTGAAATGTAAAATTAATGAAAAATAAATGTTTAAAAAACATTTCCTCTTCATTGGGATATAATGTGAACATAAAATAAATGTTTCAAAAATGTGTTTCGTCAAGCCATTATCTTAAATAAACAAGTTTTTTTAATGTAAAAAGAATACATTTAATAAACGTTAAATAAGCATTTAAAAAATATTTCTTCAATATGCTATTTTAAGAGAGTAATTAATATAAAACAAACATTTAATTAAATAAACGTTTAAAAAATATTTCTTCCAAACATCATTTCAAATAAATAATTGATGTAAAATGAATATTTAATTACTGTTAAATAATAATTAAATTTAAAAACTGTTTTTTATTATTTGAAGTAAAAAATAACTTTAATTAAATAAAATTAAACTTGAAGTAAAAAATTGAAGTAAAAATGAATAACTGGGCCCCCCACTCCAGCATGGTATTTTTTTCTTGTGTTATTAAAACTTACATAACGAATTCAAACGACAGATAATCGTTTTTTAAATTATTTTTCTTGGCATTCTTTATTTCAAAAATTAGACACAATATTTGGTTTAATTGATAGAGTATTATTGTTACACCGAAAAAATTGTATTCTTAACTTAAGATTATCTCACTTACATTTTCTTCTAAAATAAACGCCAAAACAATTTTCTCATTATAGTTTTGCAATGTTTACGGAATATTACAAGCATATGACTGACATTTTTGCAGGCTTATTGTTAATTTACATTTCTGTAATACTTCTTCAATATTACGTTGCAATCTATAATATTGTAATATTGCAGCAATATTGCTTTAGTCTTCTGTACTGTGTGTGTATGATTTGTTTTCTGTTCCTGCATTAGATTGCACTAGAACTCTCTTTCTCGGTTTCGACAAATATCAAACATATATTTTAAATTCCAAAAGTATAAAGGTTCAGCTACAGAAATCAGATCTCTAATGTAGTCTATAGAGGTTGTGTTCTAAAATTTACTGCCAGTAGGGAAAATCTATAATTTACGTTACGTGCATTATAGATTTTCAGTAACTGGCAGTAAATTTTGGAACCTCCAGAATAGACTGCAGACTGTGATGCCTTATACATCAGCCAGACATTTGAAAATGTGGATGTCGGACACAGAAATTATATTAATAAAAACGACAATAGAAGACTGAACCTGTCTTCTGTTGTCACGGAACATCAGAGATGAGATGATCTCATGATTTTGATTGGGATAACATTAAAATATTGAACAAAGAAAAAATCTTAAATAAAAGACTTGTCAGAAATGATTTACACAAAGAAACATATATATATATATAAATTTATAAAATGACACTTTATCTCTTGATCCACTATATGAGAATTTATTTAAAAAGTGCTTCCTGTTTCTTAATATATGAAAATTTAATCTTAATTTTATTATCGTCGATTTTTATTTACAATTATGTTTTATTTTTGTTTTTCAAATGTGATATTATCTATTTTAACGTTTCATTATTCGTCGAGCATTTGAACTGTTAACATCATTTTCATATTCACTATGTAAGTTTTAATTCTTCTCAATAATTTTTTTTAATAACTTTAATAGTAATTAATATTTAGTAATTAATATTTAATTAATTTTGTTCACATATAGTAAAATTTTAATTTAATAACGGAATAGATGATAATCTCATGTTTTTCCAACGTTACTTGTAAGTGACTTAAGTTACTTTAAGACATGATTCTGTTAAAATAATAAAATATTTGATTTGTATTCTATAGCAAGTCTGTTAATTTAACAATTAATAATTTTCTGTTAAGATTGCACAGTTGTCATAATACAATCTTTCTAATAATTAATTATTTTTGCGTTATTAATTTGTACTGATTAATATGTAATGAAGAGAACTCGAAACAAGAATTATTAATTTATGTACTGAAGAGAACTCGAAACATATGTCGCAATTACTTAATAAAATTTTGATTATATGTCACTAATTTGCATATTGACATTATATATATCATTAAATTTAATCTCTTGAGCATATTATTATTACTTTTGTTTAATATTTAAATTGTTAGTTTTCGAATTTTATTAAAAATATTATTCTGAAGTCAGTACAATAATTAAGTGCTTCAAATTATGCAATTTATATATATAATACATAATATTAGTAGTATTTATTTTTCATAAAGTTTTATACAATAAAGAAAAAATGAGGATATATCAATAATTCATGTTCTGCAAAATAGTTTTTACTTTTCTTAAAAAAATAAAACTTAAAAAGAAATTAAATTTAGATTATTTTATATGAGAATTATAAAAGTTGCAAATAATTTATTTGATTGTCAAAATTAGGAACAATTCGATTTATCAATATTAGCTACAGTTGTGTGCTTGCCAATTACTATATTAATTAATTAATAAAAAATTAATTTTGTTTAAAAATTCGGCAATCTGTAGAAATTAATGTCTCATTAACTATTACGAAAATTTGCAAAATGATTTATAAATTTCTCGATGACGCTTTTGAAATTTTCACTGGTATTTTTTTCAAAAATAGTTTGCGGGTTATTGCCGTGTCCTTATTCATTGCTAATGTTTCATAAACAACAAAATTCATGAAAATTAGCAATTGATAAAAACAAGGCGATAACCTACAAACTCACTGATATCTTTGATTTATAAGTTTTAGACTTAGTTTTTGATCAAAAA